GGGTGACCAGTTAGTTTTAATTGCCCTTGCGAATTTCACTTTACGTCCGATTACAGGTCTGTCGGACAACGAAGCTAATCCTGATATTCACATCGGCCCACCAGAATCCATTGCAGAAGAATCGCGGGGGGGGGGGGGCGCGAATCCCCCCTGTTTGTTGCATACTAGATTTGCAGACGTTGCCAATCAAGATGAGTTTGACGAGGCAGCCAGTCCTGATGAGCGTGCTTTAGTGCTCGCCCAACAGGCAAAACGTTAACGGAGACGCCAAGAATTAGCACATTCGTTGGGTCTCGACACGAGCAATGCACAGCTTCGGTCTGCAACTGGCCCACCTACGCGCGTATTATGTGGTGTTGCTTATGCAAGTGCACTGTGTGTCTGTATTGCAGAAGCGTTGCAGATGCAGCAAAGCGTCGTTGACGATGTATTAGTTCGTGCATCAGTTTTGGATTATTCCCTGTTCCGTGCCGTTTTGCCTTTCCAGTAAAATGGAAGTTGCCAAAATCATATGTTTCGGTGCTCGAATTGGCGGCGGTGCAGTCTAAACGCTTCGCGTGCCCCCGCCAGCCCATCCAGGAACGATTCCCAGGGGGGCGGGGGTGACGAGGGAAGCGGGGGGGCATGCATAATAACAATGGGCGGGAGCAAGCCGCCATGCGCCCCAAGAGGGGGGGAATGTAGGAGTAGGAGGAGGAAAAGGAGGGGCAGGGGGGGGGCGGAGGGGGAGGGGGAGGAGGATGAGGAGGACGATGGGGAGGGGGAGATGGAGGAGGGCGAGGACGCGGAGGACGAGACGGAGGAGAAGGAGACGGAGGAGGAGGAGGAGGAGGAGGAGGAGGAGGAGGAGGAGGAGGAGAGGGAGGGGGGGGAGGAGGGGGGAGGAAGACAAATAAGAGGAGGAGGAGGAGGACAATCGCGAGCTTGGGGGCCTCTTGGGCCGTCTTTGGGGCCTCTTGGCGGTCCTGGGGGCCTCTTCCATATCTTGGGGAGCCCCTTGGGGCCTCTAGGGGGTCTCTTGGGGGCCTCTTGGAGGCCTTTCGGGCTCCTCTTGGGGCCTCTTGGGGCCCTTTTGGGGCGCTCTTGGGGCGCTCTTGGGAGCCTTCGGGGCGCTCTTGGGGCCGTGCCGGAGGATATCTATCAAAGAAGGGGGGGGTAGGAATTAGCGTTGCCCCGTGCCTCGAATCGCCTCTTGGGCCCCAGAAGAGCCCAACATCCTTCCAACACCTAGGGCAATCAATGTTTTCTCTGCTTTCCCGATGTTTCGCTCTTGGGGCCGTCTTGGGCCATCTTGGGCGCCCCAGCGACCCGCGGGGCCCCCTGTCCAGGTCCAGGGGGGGCGGGGGGGAGGGGCAAACCCCTCCGCGAAGGGGAAGAAGGGGGTTGGAAGAGGAAACCCTCTAGACCACCGACGCCCAGAAGGCTGGTGGGATTATCTACGAAACGCGTGTTTTGTGTGTTTGTGTTCCTCCAAGAAGCGAACCTTACAAAGTAGGGCGCGTAGTTGTCATTTTACGTTTGTTAAGTTCTTCATGTTCAAAGATTTCAAGAGCATCCAGACAGTTTTTGGTGTTACATATATATACATATATATATATGTAGATTGACGACCGGAAGTTTTAGTGTTCTACCAGCTGCGTAGGTTCACTTTTTGCATTCAGTTTTTGGGTTTGGGAGTTTCTGAGCTTGAGAAAAATGTTCAGGTCTGTGTGTTTTACACATGGAGAGCAGTGCGTTTTCTAGTGTTGTGGCTAGTTTGTCATAGCGTGCGTTTTTTTTTTCCCGACAATGTTTCATTGCTAGACATTGACCAATACAGTTTGCAGGGGTCTGGTTTGTTTCGTGATTAATCGGATTTTCTCAGTGTCGGTCATTTTCTATTGAAAAGAGTGTATATAGACATGGTTTCCGACAAATTTCAGTTGTCATTCTTCATTGGTTGATTCTGTTTTTGTTTTTACATTTCCTTAGCAATTTGGGTAATCCTTTCATTGGGTATTCTGTTGGATGCGATGTTAGGTTTGTCATGTTCAAAGATTTGAAGAGCATCCAGAGAAAAAAAAAGTTTCGTCTTTGTTTTTTTCCCACACAAAAAAGCTGCCTTATTTTTAAGTGGCCTACCGGCTGCGTAGGTTCGCTTTTTGGATTCAGTCTTTGGGTTGAGAAATTTCTGGGTTTGGGAAATATTTTATAATCTTAATCGCGGTGAACAATGCATTCTCTAGTGTTGTTCTAGTTTGTCATAGTGCGACCCGTTTTCGACAATGTTTCACTGTTCGACATGGACCAATACAGTTTGCGTTTTTGTTTTGTTTTTGTTTCTCTCTCTCTCTCTCTTTTCTTTTTGTTTAAAACATAAATTTGTCGAAGCTCTTCAATTCCAGTCTATGTATTGGGTGTTCTTAGCGGTGATTTACATATATATATATACATATATATATATATATATATATATATGTATATATATATATATATATAGAGAGAGAGAGAGAGAGAGAGA